TAATATTACTAGCTAGATACCCTATCTTCTTTATATCTAAGAAAAATAGTAAATTATAAATATATATAGACTATTAATAGTTAAATAATATTACTATTAAAAACTAATATCTACTACCCCTAATTTCTAAATTTTAAGATAGGCTTTAAAGAGCTTAGTAGTTTATAACCCTAAATTTAAAAAGAGTATATAACTTAATCTATATTAAGGAAAATAATAAATAGAAGATTACTTTTAAAATATATTTAAAATATTTTAAATATTTAGTTATACTTTTTAGACTTATTAATACCTTTATAAGTTTCTAGATAATAATTAATTATATTTTATAAAAATATTTAGATAACTTTATAATAATATACTTTAATAATATTCTTATCTATTTAAATATTATAAAAGAATATAAGAAATATATATATAAAATCCTATAAAAACTATAAAAAGTAAATTTACTAGTAGAACTATCTAAATATAAGTTTTATAAATAATAAGTAGATTTCCTTAGATATATAATCTAGCTAGGAAAAATCTGAATATAAGAATTAAAAGTTAAGGCTATCCTAGAATAGTTAGTATTGATAAATATTATTAAAGTTAGAGGATTCCTTAGATTCTTTAACTTCTATAGAAGGTTTTTAGGAGGCTATAGTACTAAAGTATAAGTTTTTATAGAACTTACTAAAAAAGATAATTTTTTTAAATAGGGACTAAAAGAATAGGAAGTGTTCTAAAAAGTTAAATAAGCTATATATAAATAACTTATACTTTACTAGGTGGATCTTTTAAAGCTATTTAAATTAGAAATAAATATATTAGACTATAGCTTAGGAATATAACTAGGATAATAAGATAAGAATAGTAAACTTTACTTAATAGTATTTATATTAAAGAAACTTAGTAGATCTAAGCTATACTATAAGATATTTAATAAGGAACTAATAGCTATTATTAAAGTATTTAAGGAATAGAAGTACTATTTTATAAGTACTAAATACCTTATTATAGTCTATTTAGACTATAAAAATCTTATAGGATTTACTATAACTAAGGAACTTAACTAATGATAAGTATATTAAATTAAAAAACTATCTAAATATAATTTTAGAATTATATATATTAAAGGAAAAGAAAATAGATAAGCTAATATACTTAGCTAAAGGCTAGATTACTTTTAAAAGATACCTAAGAAAGTAAATACTATCCTCTACTATAATAAGTAAGGAAATTTATATTAAATAGCTATAAGTTACTATATTAAAATAGAACTAGAGCTATTATAGAAAATTAAAGACTATTACTAAGGTCTAGACCTAAGATATTAGAAATTATCTACTAACTACTTAGATATTAAAAAAAGATATAGAGTATAGAAATATAATAAGAAGATTATAGTATTTAGGTAACTAGCTAAAGATATTTTTAAAAGGATTTATAAGTTACTACTATATAAGTACCCTAATCTAAAATAAATATAATAAATCTTTAAATAATCTTATTACTATAAGTTAAGTCCTATAATAATAAAAGATATCTTTAAATAATATATATACTATACTAAAAATAAAATATTAAGGTATAAGCCTTATAGAAAGCTATAACTAATATTAATATTTAAGGTACTCTAGTAAAAGATTACTATTAATTTTATTATAAAGCTACTACTATTAAAAGACCTTACTATAGGAATTATATATA